AGAGGGGGGAAGAAGCTACAAGATGAGAAGGGAAGAAAAGGAAGGATGCAGAGGTCATGAGGAAGCAGAAATTTTGAGTCAGGTGTAGATTAGAAGAAAGGACATATGATACGTAGGATTTTAGTTGAGGGGGTGGTAGAGGAGGAAGGGAGGGACTGGGATCGTCATGTAATTCAATCTTGTTTATAATTCAAATATATAAAAAATAAAAAAATAAAGTGTGGGGGAAAGGGGTGGCAGAAACTGCCAAATTTAGAAATGAATGTCTAGCTGAGTTCTGTAATTCCAGTACTTGGAAGGGTAAGGCAGGAAAATAAAAAGTTCAAGATCTAGCAAGGCTACAGACTGGATTCAAAGCCAATCTAGACAATTTAGTGAGACCTTGTCTCGGAGTAGAAACACACAGAAAAAAAGGCTCTACAATGCAATGCTTCTGTAGCATGGTCGAGACCCCATGTTGGATCTCCGGTACCTACTGAAAGGTTCAGGCCTTATGCTGGCCTGTCCCAGTTACCTGGCAGAATCCACTCAGCTTCCATGGGAACTAAGTCTGCAGGAAGGTGTAAAGGACCCCTTTAAAAGACAGACCCCTGCCCACATACACTCTATTCTCTTCCTGTCATGCTCTCTTTCCTTCCTGTCTCTCTCTTACCCTCTCACTCTTACTGTCCCTTCCTCTTACTTACTCTCTCTCCTCTCTTCCTTTTGGCTCTTCTCTCTTTCCTCTTGTTCTGTTCTCCTCTCTCCCCTCCCCATCTTTAATAAACTATGGTTAATGTACTCTATAGTTCGTGTTCCATCGAGCCGGTTTCCATCTCACAGCCTTTTTCTAATTTTTAAACTTTTACAAAATAACAACACCCACCTCAAAACTGAAGGCAAACTAATTACAGAAATAGATGGGTTAAGGGCTAGAGGACAGGCTGATGAGAGTGTGCGATGCTTTTCCAGAGTACCCTAGTTCTCCTCCCAAGCACACACATCAGTCAGCTCACAGTTGCCTGTAACTTCAGTTCCAGGAGAGCTGATGCCCAAAAGCTGGATTTGCTTTTGCCCAAGAAATAAAATGAAATCAAGCAGACACACAGCTAGCAGTGCAGTACCAATTACTGAGAGATAAGAATTTGGTTTCTTGTGACTGAAGACATAGTTCAACAATTAAAAGAGCACTTTCTGCCCTTAAAGAGGACCCAAGTTAGGTTTCTGCCATCATGGGGCCACAGCCACTGCATCTACATGGTATACATATACACATGTAAGTTCTCACACATACACATTTTATTTAAAAAGCCTTTTAAGAACTTTTTAAACTCTTTAAATACTTTGAATTGGGCTCCTACCTGGGCTGTGTTGAGCAGAGAAACATATGAGTTAAAAGTTCAAAAGAAGGGACAACTGAACAAAAAATATCACTTATTAGATTAGTTTGCCTTTATTTATCAAATTTTAAAAAAAAGAAACAAGCTCGTTAGGGAATTGGCACAGTCAGCAGAATGCTCACCTGGCATGTGTGAGACCCTGTGTCATCCCCAGCACCACAAAAAAATCAGGGGCCGTGGCACATCCTGTAACCCAAGCCTTGAAAGTTAGAGGCAAGTGGATCAAACTTTTATCATCAGCTACACAGCAACTTGCAGCCAGCCTAGAATACAGGCCTCTATCTCAAAAACTAAAACTAAAAATAAGTCAGTATGCTGAAATGAAGTTACTGACATTCTTTTCCAAACAAATTCCATAAGTTAACCAGAAGCTATAAAATTATGCAAGAAACTCTTCATCCCAAGGTAAGGTGGTTGTTTTAATTTTTGAGACAACAGTTAACAGATGGCAGTTAACCTCATAAACCTCCTGCCTCTGCCTACTGCATTCTGGGATTTCAAGACTGCACATCACACTTAGCCTCTAATGGGAAATTTAAAACTAAACTGGGTCCTCAACATCTTAAATCCATATTTGCAAATTTGCCTGACTCACTAAAAATGTAACTGCAGTCTATTAATCAATGCTTATAGAGATCTCAAGGTCATCTGTGGACATGTACAAACATTTTTTTAAAGGGTTGCCTGCATCACTATCCTTGGGGAGTGGGTCGGGGGTTAGTGGGGAGCATGGGAGGATGGGAGGGTGAGGTAATGGGGCGATTGATATGTAAAATAAGATTGTTTCTAAAAGAAAAATAAGAGAAAAAAATAAGTAGAAATAAAGAAAAACAAGTTTCCTGAAGACTGTGTGCCAGAGAAAAAAGTGACACTAATGAGGACCTCTGAGTTCAGCCTCAGTGTCCTCACAGATTTCAGGCAGGATACTTACAGAAAGCAGGTAGGGCTAGCTAAAAGGACCTGAGGGCGAACGATTCAGTTCATACATGTATTCTTCTCATCGTGTCTCTTTATTCTTCCAAAATTTTCCCAGATCCCACAAGGTTTCCGGTTTATAGACCCACACAGACACAATTAGCAATTCTCTGGCAATAGCAAGGATACTAGGCATTCATTTCTCAAGGCCAGGAAAACAGATAAGATCTGACAAAGAGATCACCTTAAGTCTCAGAGGGAAGTCAGGGGATATGATTTCTAAGACAGGAGAAGGGGAGTTAGTACTTAAAACTACACTTGTGTGGCTAGTTAAGCTAGAAATTTGTAATTGATAAATAGAGAAAAAAGGGAAGAAATGCGGTAGCTGTGGTTTCTGCACACTGGCTTTCACTTTCCAGGAGGCTGGGAACACAGCGTCATGGTAGCTATGGCAACCTGCATAAGCTGGGGAAGGAAAATGGGTGGCATTTTCTTCACATTAGCATTTTCACCAAATGTTAGCTGATTAAAGGGGACTCCTCGGTGTTATATCAAAGGGACAAGCTAAGACTATGCCTCCCCGATCCTACTTAGACCAACAGCTTATTGATTTTTGACCTGTTAGTCACTGTGTAGTTTACTATCAAATAAGTCTTATCTTCCTAATTCTGGGTCTATGACCTTACAGTGCTATTAACGCCAGTAAGCACTGGTGGAAATAGCTGGTGGAAGTAGAAGCAGACATCCACAGCTAAACACTGAACTGAACTGGAATCCTGTTGCAGAGAAGAATGAGTGATGAGCAAAGGGGTCCAGACCAGGCTGGTGAAACCCACATAAACAGCTGACCTTAACAAGAGGGAGTTCTTGGTCCCCAGACTGATAGCTGGGATACCAGCATGGGACTGATCCAGACTGCAGGAGCATGGGTTTCAGTGAGGAAACCTGGGAAATCTAGGGACCTCCTGTAGTAGTTCAGTACTTATCCCTAGCATAGGTGTGGCTATGCCCTATCCCAAAGGATATGATAGACTCTGATGACACCCTATGGAAGGCCTCATCCTCCAGGGGGAGCAGAAAGGTTATGTATGTGATAGGTAGGATTTTAGTTGGGGGGGTGGGTGGTAGGAGAGGAGGGGAGGGAGAGGGAACTGGGATTGCCATGTAAAACAATCTTGTTTCTAATTCAAATTAAAACATACTATAAAAAAGGAGTGCTCCTTTGCCATCATTCTCTGCCCTCATGAAAGACAACCTGTTAAGAAAAAACTGGTTGTTTTCTTGGGCTACAGAACACTCAACACATTGTTACATTGACTGAATTAAAAGACTGGCGGGCCATAACTTTATTGTGCACTATTTCTGCTAATTAGGCAGGCCATCACAGGGCTGGGGCCACAATTCTTGTGTTCACTTGGCCTGGAGGATCCTCCTCTTGCTTAGGACAGGCCTGCCAACCTGACAGGCCACACGAAAACTCTGTTCAGAAAGAGAGGAAAGGTCCCCCACCTCCCCATCACTTGCTTAGGGACAGAGGAGGACTGCATGTCCTCATCAGCAGGATGGCTTTGGGAGGGCTATTCCCAGCTCTAGAGCCCCGAAAAAGATAAGGAAGTTTGACAAGGGAACAGAGCGCGCAGGAGAGATACAGCAGGTGGGGGGAGGGCGGAGGAGGGGGGAGAGAGAAGAGAGAGATGGGGGGTGGGGGAGAGAGAGAGAGAGAGAGAGAGAGAGAGAGAGAGAGAGAGAGCAGACATTTATCTCCGTGTGAGGACAATGTAGCCCCACGCAGACCAGTGCCACACAAAGCGAACTGTGAGGCACTGCCTGGGGACCAGGTGCTAAGCCTCTGATTCCTGCCACTGCCTGTGTTTCAGGGCTCTGGACCAGGGTGTGCGCCTGCTAGCCCACTCTCTGTAGCCTCCACCACCAGAATAACAGAGGGGAGTATGCGCAGAGCAGAGCCAAGGAGAGGCAGGGTGCATATTAGGATCAGAGGAATGTAGGAGTACAGTGGCACGGAAAAGTAAAGAATCATTGGAAACTAGGAGAAGAAAGGGCTAGAGCTTGCGAATGAGATCCAGAGGGCGGAACAGAGGTGACCATTGGCAGTGCCTTTGGGATGTGGGCAAGGAAGAGGCAGATGGATAGGCATCCTACCCAGCCAATCTGCACCTGGTTCCTCTCCACCGCCCCGCCCCCAATCTCCCCAGCAGAGACACCAGAAATTCCATCAGTCTTTACAAAAGCGCTGTGCTGAGAATCAGAGTGGAGCTGGTTGCTAGTATTGGGTATTTTAATGGCGTTTGCCAGAGGAGTGGGAATCACACCTCCCATGGTATTCACCATCTGACCAGAAGAGGACTCCTTGGACCAGAGGGAGGGTGGAACAGAACCATCTGGAGCCCCAGATCTCACCCTCAAGCCACGCCCACCTCATCCCCCATCCCTGCTGTCAAGGGAATACATCTGAACCTTGGGTGAATGAACTCCTAAAACTCCTGCCACCACCTACCAATTACTGCAATTACAGCTTGTGCCAAGTTTGGCTTAGGCGGCTTCTTTTTCAACTTCATTGAGCCATTACAAACCCAGGATAGGAAAAGTAGTTGCTACAAAGGAAAACCAGTTTTTGGTATAAAAGTCTGCCTTTTGTCATCTGTATAATGAGGAAAAAAACAAAACAAAACAAAACACTGTCCTTGTCTTTTCATGTGGTTATTGCTATAAAGAGAAAAGTAAGGTTTATAAAAAATTCTAATAAACTTTCTGTGTAAAAAAGATTAGAGAGAGAATGTGGTTGTCAAAGGCTAAGGCTCTGTGATGGCTATTGTTGTCAACTTGACTATATCTGAAATGAACTAGTCTGGAAATGAAGGACACACCTGTGATCCAGATACTGAGGCAGGAAGACATTAAGCCTCTGATCTGGATCTTGAGGCTGGAAGACACAGGCTTTTTATTCAGATCTTGAGGCAAGATGATACAATTTTAATTTGGGTCACATCTTCTGCTGGAAGCCTATATGAGGACAATGGAAGTTTGTTTTTCTCCTGCTTGCCCTGGCCTTATCGGCAATCCCTTCCTTCACTGGCATTGGAGGCGACTTCTTTGGGATTCCAGTATATACAAAAGACCAGCTGAGACACCCACCTTTGTGTGACTGAACAACTACTAGATTCTTGGACTTTCTGTTCATAGCTAGCAATTGTTGGATTAGTTGGACTGAAGTCTTTAAGTCCTTCCAATAAATTTCAGAAAGAGAGTGAGAGAGATTCATTCCATAAGTTCTGTGACTCTAGAGAACCCTGACTAAATCAGATTTTGGTACCAGAGAAGTTCTAGGGAAACAAGTGTAATGGTGAATCTTTTAAGTATCTGGAATTGGCCTTTCAATTGGACAGTACCTTAAAATTAACCAGGACCTTTATCAACCAAAGCCTCTTCAGTCACTCACTCTCCTGGGAGCTCAGATGTTCTGGAAGCCCATGGTGTAAACTATATTTCTTAAAGAGTAAGTGCCTTTGATTATCTTGATTCATCAATAGTGAATGACAATTGATTTAGTGACCCTGTATATAAAACTTTTGACAGTTTGGAGGAAAATATGTTGCTGGTTGGCTGCTCTTAGTACCTCTGGATAAACTGATAAAGGACAGAAACGAGCTCCATGATAAAATTAACCAATTTCAGAAAACAGGGATAAAATTTGTAAGGGTCTGAGGAAGTGCTGAAGGAGACCCCAGACTCAAATAAGTATATAAAAGCAAGAGCATTGATTAGTATTTCAGCAAATGCAGGGTCATTCACCTGTGCAAAATGGTGACGTCCCCGAGAGGAGCATTCAGGCTTCTTTTAAGCACAGCTAAGGGGAGTTTCAAGGACAGTTAAGTCATCTCACGTATAATTGGTTGAACAAGCAGAAGTTACACTAGTATACTTTTCACTGGCTGAAGTTTAGTCTTATCATTTTGGGACATATTTGTACAGGCTTGGGCGAGTCTGGATGTGACTCAGAAGAGGCTGCTGGATTTGTCCTTGAGACATTGTGAAGCTGACTTGATTTAGGCCTGTTTTTGTTCTCTTTCTCATCCCTGAATGCAAGACTACTGTGGATAACTGGGCCTTTGTGGGAGAAACACCTGTTTTACCTTTCTCAGAGAACTGGAACCTAAATTCAGTTGTGAGAGTGGGAGAGTTTAACCCTTTCAAATTGACCTGCTCCAGATGTGAATAAAGAGTCTAAAAGTTTCTAAATGTGACCTGGAAGAGATCTTCTCTCCAGCAGCCACAGAGTTCAAGCTACAGAAAAGTTAAACCAAAACCCTCATCAATGAAGTTGGCTGAATTACAGCAAAATTCAAGTCTCAGCCTCAGAAGGTGTCAGCATTTAAAGTAAGGCTTTAACTGGTAAAGAATGGGATGCTATGTTTTTTTTTTTGTTTGTTTGTTTTGTTTTGTTTTTTTACCAATTGTCTTTACTTGGGATGGGAATATGTGAAATGACTCTATTGAAGCTGACAACTGTGAACCCTCAGATTATCCAGGGTTTATCTCAGGTAAGGAAGTAGTATCCTCAGCCCCACCCCTTGAAACATTGCCTGTTTAACCTAGGAAGTTAATCATTCAGTGTCTGCTAAACCAGCAGTGACTTTCTCTAAAGAAAATGCCAGGCAAGATAACACTGATGGAATTTGTGGACCACCAATCATTGCCTCTACATCTATAATCAGACTCAAGGCAAAGCAGCCTTCCAGAGGGGAGGCAGAAAGTGTAATCCATGAGGAAATGTACTACACTACTAAAGCACTTAATCATTTTACTAATTTATTCAAGCATAAATTTGGGGAATATGTGTGGGAATGGATTTTAACGGTGTGGGATAATGGTGTAAGGAACATAAAACTAGATCAGGCTGAGTTTGTTGATATGGGCCCTTTGAGTGGAGATTCAGGGTTTAATATAAAAGCTCTCACAGTTAAAAAAAAAAAGGTGTCAAAGTTTGTTTGAATGGGTGGCTGAAAAAGAGTATGATAGCTTACTGAAAAGGAGTTGGAGATGCCTGATACCCCTGGCTTAGTGTTGATGAAAGGGTTTTAAGGCTCAGAGAAATTGCAATGCTAGAGTGGGTATGCCGATTAAAACTTAATCCTCTATAATGGTTCCAGAAAACATGCCCTTCATGATACTAATGGTGTCACACAAAATGGTGAAAAGGTGCATCAGCAAAGCTGAAGAGTTTTGTTGTCAGCCTTTTCCTAGTGCCAGACCTTAGGGTTGGAGATGCTGCTTCTCAAGTGGATGAATTCAATGCAGTGGGTTTAATTAGGCCCCAAGGTAGAAGAGGCCAGGTGGCAGCACTGAATTGTCAGAGGCAAGATGATCATAGTTATCATAATGGGCAGCACAGACAAAACAATGCCTATAATGGTCTAACCTGTGATGGTCAACATAGGCAAGGTGAATTTTATAGTGGCATGATTGTGTACTTAATACTAGCTAATCAATCATGATTTCCAGGCATGAAATAGATAAGAAGCCTACTGCATTATTTTTTTTTTGAACTTGTAAGTGGGGAAATTTTCAAAAATAAAAGAAAGGCTACACTGGATTGTGGCAAAAGGCAATCTCAGCCAGTGAATTCCAGACTTGGGTCAGGTTTCAGATTCAGAACCCCTTGAATTGAAAGGGTGGCCAAGTTCCCCTGAGGAAAAGATACCTACAAGTTTTACTGTTAGTCTTTTTCCTATTCTTCCACAGAGGTAACTGTGACATTTTGCAAGGGTTTCTGTATAATGGGAGGAAAGTAACAATCAGAATTTCTGGGGTCTGTTGAATACTGGTTCTGAATTGACACTGATTCTGGGAGATCCCAAGAAACATGCCCCTCCAGTTAAAGTAGGGCTTATGGAGGCCAGGTGATTAATAGAGTTTTTGCTGATGTACAACTCATAGTAGGTCCAGTAGGTCCCTGACCTTGTCATGTTGTTATTTCCCTAGTTCCAGAATGTATAATTAAGATAAATATACTTAGAAGTTGACAATATTCTCCCATTGATTCCCTGACTCCTGGAGTAAGGGCTATTATGGTTGTAAAGACTGACTGCAAGCTTTCAGAGTTACCTCTGCCAAAGAAAATAGAGAATCAAAAGCAGTACCACATCCCAGAGGGAATTACAGAAATTAGTGCCACCATCAAGTGATGTTTTATCTTTGCCACAGCCTTAATCTACTGCTATTTCAGCCAGCAATTACAACTCTACAGTTACTGACCTGATTCTCTAGCAGTGGTCTGGCTACTCTGGCTGCAGACTAATGGGAATTCTATTCCTGAAAGCACTGACTCTGTTTCTCTCTTTCTCCTTGATGCCATCTTATGTAATAATTATTGAAAAACAACACCTAAAGTGCATTATAATCTGTAATTATAACATGTAGTTTGCCCCCAAAAAAGTGTGGTTTCTGGCATATCTTAGAGATTTCTATGCAGTATGAGATGTCTTTAAAAAAAGGTTTAAAGAGTCAAAATATAATCAAAGATTATAAGATTATAAGATTAGTAGCAATAGAATAGTTCCTTTGGTTTCTTCTGTCTCATATGAGGAGGCTTTTGACATGAGACAGAGATTTTGGATTTTCCTTTAACAAGCATGTTTGGGTTTAGAAAGTGAGAGAGCCATTCTCCAAGTCCAAAGACAGCTTTGATTTTAATTGAATTAAGATCACAAAAAGATCATTTGCCTTTTATATTTGTAGAAAGCAGCAGAAACAAATATTTGGGAAGATTTATAAAGTTTTATCCTGTTGGAAATGTGCTGGATGATTCGTCCTTCTTCAGATGTCTCATTTGTCAAATTCCTTAGTTGGATGATTTATTCCCCTGGAAAGACAAAAACAAAATCCATCCCAAACCTAACTTTGGTGAGTGCATTTTTTTTTTGCAACATAGAAATGGTTTTTAGCAACATAAAATAACTTTTAATAATAAAATACTTTATTTTTGCATTCCTGATCAAATGAATATTTATTGGTTTTAGTTAGTCTTAGTTTGGATTGAGTGACCAAGCTGTTGAATGTCTCTCCTGTTCCAGTCTAATCTTTATCAATCTTGATGGTATCCATAGCTTTTCTTCTCCCGTGGAAATGAAAGCAAAAACACTTTCCCCAGTATAACACATATCTTGGTTTCCATTCTGAGGTCAATACATCTTTAATATATATAGACTGATTTAATGCAGCATTTTTTTTAAATTATTGAATGTCTGTCTAAAGCCATTTAGCCTTTAAAAAATTAAAAGTCAATAAAGCACTGTGGTAAACTTTATTTCCACTTTCTT